CGTGCTAACACACACACTGCTACGCAGATAGGCCATGATGAGGGTAGGCCGTGCTAACACACACACTGCTACGCAGATAAGCCGTAATGAGGGTAGGCCGTCCTAATACACATCCTGCTACGCGGATAGGCCATGATGAGGGTAGGCCATGCTAATACACATCCTGCTACGCGGATAGGCCGTGATGAGGGTAGGCCATGCTAAAACACACGCTGCTACTCAGATAGGCCGTGATGAGGGTAGGCCGTGCTAACACACACACTGCTAGGCGGATAGGCCGTGATGAGGGTAGTTTACATTCCCTCACTCGCCTAAGCTGTCCCTTGGAGCCATCACAATGCAGCAGACACAGTGTGGACCGTTACGGCAGCTTATCTAGGGGTCGGATAGGGCCTGTAACCCCAGAGGTGCAATGCATCCACTAAACCTCCTGCCTTAATTTCCTGCAAGAGGTACCTCTCTTATCTGACATTTGGGCTTGGGTGAGTACTCCCATTCGAACTGTATCACACATTACTGCTAAAAGTTCCTCAGCACAGAAATATTAAGCAAATAAATAAAGCTAAAGGTGGACTCTTTCTCTAAAATACCTTCATATTTGTACTACTGGGTGGCTTGTGTAGTCTTTACCACTATACTGCTATATACACACATACATTCACACACACACACATATATATAGATATACTTTAACCACAAAATGCAAAGCTAAACTGTCATCTACGAACACTGTCCGCCCCCCCTCCCCCCCTTGGCACATGGATGGGCTCAGAGTCCCTGAGTCACACAGGAGGGAGTTACTAAAATGGACTTGTCGGAGGGGGGCACAGCTGCGGCAGGATTTGCGGCTCCGCGAGAGACGTGACGTCAGCCCGCCAGCTGCGGGCCCCTGGCCGCTCCGTGACTCAGATTTGGACACGGCGACATGGCCGGAGTTTGAATGAGGAAGAAAGGAAATACCCGTTTAAAAGCAGAAGCACAGAGCCTGGGACGCTTCACCGCCCCCCCCCCCCCCCCTCATGACATTGACCAGCTAATCTTATTCTTATTCCGATTTTCTGCACACCTTCCTCCTGGCCGACTGAAGGCAGGATTGGCTGACTGAGACATCGTCTGCAGGGACCGGGCTCCCTTAGTGTGTAATGTCGGTGCGTGGGGGGGGGGGCGTTCTCTACCACGGCACTGACCACCCACAGAGGGGGCGGAGTGACAGACCCACTGGCGGCGGCAAACTCAGAAATAAATTACCTCTGAGAAGAGGCTGTCCTTCAGTGGGATTCCCGGAGACGACCACGTCGTATAAGTCTTCCGAAAATCCAGGTTGGCACAATGGGGTCCCTCTGCCCTCTGCAGAGACCTGGGGAGGCAACAGTGCATAAATCATTCCCCGAACGCACCTCGACGCGCCCTGGAAGACCCAGTGGGGGGGTTCATCTGTTGTTTTAAAGGGGTCCCCAATTAGCATAATGGGGCCAAAGGGGTTAAACATTTCTCAGTGAGGGCAGAGGCTAGAGGGATGGGCCTCAGCTCACACCTGGCCGGCCTCACGGCAGATTAATATTCCGCATAAAGAGCGAGCAGGAGAGGAGATCTGCGGGGTGTACAGGAGCAGTGCAGCCGTCCCGAATGTCGAGGTGCGAAACGGAAGCTGCTCTGCAGCCATGTGTCCAGTTCACTCTCACTCACTCCTTTTTTGTTTTTTTAAAGGGAGGCTTCAGGCAAAGCGGGGCTGGGGATTTTCTGGAAGAAACCTCAGATCGACCCGTAAGCCCTGAGCACCGAACGTAAAGCGAGCGTAATCCGGCCATTTACAAAGACATCCCTCTGACGCAAGCCGAAGAGACTGATGGATGGCGATTCATTACATATGATACACATTTAATTAGCACACATTAGCGTTTTACTGCTTTTGTCCTATCTGTACAAAGTACCTTAAAAATTTCACAAGCATACATCCATTTGCTCCCAGTTCCTAATCAAACAATATAACTCATTTTAATAAATAGAAATAATTGCTGTAAAATGACCTGCATTGCTCATAATATGCATCTTAATGAGAGATATTAAACCTTAATATAGATTCAATTTCGGGGCTGACATAAATTGATTAAAATTGATGGCACCAGATCTGCTAATTAATAAAGTATATCACGTTTTAAACAAGCGGCTGGCCTGTACACGGCAGTGCGAACTCAAGCCCCTTCATCGCTGCCCCTATACCACTAGTCTCCCCCCTCCCCCAATGATGGGACCCTTGAAGAATGTGGTCTGAACCAAGTGCATTGTGGGAGTCCGTGCCACTTGCTATTTCAATCACTTGAATGGGTATTTGACCACTTCAGCCTAATCCACATTACAGGCGTGGATGTGTGGGCCTGTCGGGGGCAAGGGCAATCGGGTAAAAGGCATCAGGCCTTTCCCATAAAATTACCCCCAAATGTTAAACGTAAACACAATATTAAGTAACACCTCCAATGTGCGTTTTCATTATTTATTTATTCAACGTGTCTCCTCCTAACACTCCCGAATTAGACGAAATGCTCGCTAATAAATTATTTGTGAGATGGGAGGCGTCACCTTAACAGATCGGTCTTAAAACTTAAGATAACTTTGTGCCCCATTTTAAACAAACGGAGGGGAGGGGTTGGTGGGGGACTCAAGGTCCGCTATAAACTACTGATATGATTTCTTATATTGACGAAGTGTTTTAAAAGGTCATTTCATCTAAACACCACAGACATCATCACCTATAAATAACAACTAATCGTCCTCTTCTTCGTAACCCAGAACGTGTATTGCGTTCACGGAACTAAGGGAAGGTCAATTATGTAGACGATGGGACATTAAAAGGCATTAAAGGGGTAGAAACGGAAAATCACAATTGCCCTGGAGCTCCCTTGTTGTTTTTATATATAAAGGAAACGGCGCGTTAGGGGCTGCAATTTAATCATCAGTGTCATTATTTATATTTGTGAACATGGACTGTGCTACAAAACCAACTTTGTTAGTTCTCGCCGACAAAAACAGCGCGAATGTTGCAATTTACCCATATATTTCTGGGCCCCTTCCCAAAACACGAAATGCCCCATTTATAAAGTACGCCACCCGGGGTTAATTCTCTGCCCTATCGGCTATCCATTATACATAGGATGCTCCAAACTGGTTGCATCAATATATTTATATTTGCACGTTATCATTTACTATTTATCATTCCTGTTAGGTGATATTCATCATATACGATTTGCTCTGCGGTGCTCAATATTAAATTTAAAGTCCGGGTGAGCGTTTTTAAGGCGTATTTTGTATGTAAAGGAGCGATTTAAACGTGCAAGGATTCTATTGCAACCCCAGTGATTAGAGAGACGAAACCCGCAGGAGAGAGGACAACCTGCCGCTGTTAACGCTACTCATGTTAGCGATACGAACCCGGTCTAGGGTTACTCAGTCGCCGTGAAATAACTCAGTCGCCGTGCAATAAGTAACCAGGCACATAAAAGAAAATGTTTCAGACCCCGATGATGTCCAAGGTTAAAAAAACATCGCCGCGGACCCTCCAAGCCCGTAACACTGACACTTCCCCGCAGCATCGCGAAGGGAAGCAAGCGCGCTCCCGCGGTCCCAACTCAACTCCAGTATTTCGCACAAAAGATAAAATAAAACAAATTTAAAATCGTGTTGGAAATATTACCTGCAAAGCAGCCAGGAGCGCAAGCAAAAGCGCTCCCGAGCCCTCGTTCAGGAACATGGATGTATATTTTTATTTCCCCGCTTTTTAGGCGTATCCGTGATAGATGTATCCTTCTTGCTCGGGACTGACGGGTTTAAAATGTTTCCTACAACAAAGACGGCAGCATGAGGTACCCTCGGCTCCGCACTCCGCTCCGTACTGAGATCGCGATGTGATACTGAGGCAGTAACTCTGGTACGGAAAAGCTCACACAGGCGCCTCAGTGTCGCCCCTTACTGGCCGCAACCACGTTTTTTTTCACAACTTGTGCCAGTTCTTCTTTCTTTCTTGAAACTGCGAAGGCTGCACAACGCCATACCGGTAATCTCTCCCGACAACGGCACGAAAATCGTGCGTCTGTGTTTCCTTGGTCCCCATGGACTCCTAACGCAGATTTATTATCATCATCATCATCATTATTATTATTATTATTGTTATTATTATTATTATTATTATTATTATTATTATTATTATTATTGTTGTTGTTGTTGTTGTTGTTATTATAGATTCAAATAGCTTTTAGAGACGCTGTATTGTCTAATTCATCTGGCGTACTGTGGTTTTCCGGCATGACTACAGGAGGAGCCTCTGTCCTTATTTCGATAAGGGGAAACGGTGAATCATGGATGGATGGATGTATGGCATTTGCAAATTAAAACTGAGTATATTGTATATATTCAGCAAAATAAAAGATGTAAGTAATACATATATAAATAATTCATTTCTTTTGTTTTCCATCCATTCATCAAACTTCTTACTCATTGTAGGTCTGATGCATCTCACTGTCCTTATCGTTCATAATTAACCATATGCGTAATGCATCTCGTATGTGCCCATATTCAGTAAAGCAGATATTCAACATTGAAATATGGGCTAAACTTCAAATTGTTCTCGCTGATTAAGCGAAGACCGACAACAAACGCCTCGCAGCTCTGGGTTTTTGAACGGGGCAGCATTTTCCCAACGGAGAAAGCAGAGCTCTGATAAAATGAGACCGGATTAACGGAGAGAATTACTGCAAGCAGCAAGGTGAGCCTGCAACCTTTGCGGATTTGAGCCGGGGAATTAGTGTTGGTCCGCCACCCTAGTAAAAGAGGCATTTAGGGCAAAGCCCCTACTGAGGCTGTCTTTAAACTTTCAAGTTCAGCCCTCTTGTAACACCTATAGCATACTAGCTCGATACTCAATGCATTCAGACATGATCAAGTATCAGCTACAGTAGTGCTAAAGATTGACGAAGTAGTTTAATTTTGCCCCAAACACCCAAGGACCCAAGAGTCACCCCAGTACGGCGCTTTAGAGAACAATTTATCAGTGATTATTGATCACATTTCACCGGGAGATATTTCAAAGTTCCTTCTTGTATCGATTGGCCCGGCTCGACAATTAATGATGTTCAAGATGTTCCAATAAGTATTTAAATGTGGTGTCATTATCTGTGTCGGTCTGATTTATGCTCTTTTAATTTGCGGCCCTATAAATGACATTCTTGGTTGCTATGAATTCAAAACTAAATGCCGTTTTACACAACAATTAGTCACTGATAACAATTTATATTGGCATTGCATTAACCTATCTAATCTGAGATGTCGCTGTTGATGTGTAATTAATCTACAGCCAAAGCCATCAAATCACATTGTACATTAATTGGCTAAAATAATACCATATCTTAGTACCCATCAACCAGGAGCTGCTTGGCATCAGTGCCAGTTAAGCTCAGTCTACTACCCACAAACAATGCACAGCCCTTCGGCCATGCGGAAAGCACTATATGAGAGCCATCCATCATTATCGTCATCATCTTCATCACCATCCATCACTATTAGCACCCCAGTTTTTAAAAGGTAAACATTTCAGCAGGAGTCCATAGATGCGGCTGCAAAAACAGTATTACAAAAGAACTCGATTCTTCAGCCGACATGGGAAAATGACGTTATAGACCAGATAAATCAATTTTGTTTCTACTGTCGTTACACTTTGAATAGATATTCAAAAGACTATTTGCGATTTCTACACTGAAGCATTCCACTGTAAACTAAGCTCTGTATACCTCAGCACAGTTGTGATTCTAGAGCATTTCAACTGGGGGGGGGGGCAGACTGGGGCCAATTGTTCTGTTAGGGGGGCAGATGCATTTGACCTTAATGTCCTCTCAGTATTACTTACACTAGATTTTACAAATATGTAACTCACTCTGATTTCTTAAGACTGTCTTTCTTCCACAAGCTTGATTATTTCTTTCTGTTGTGAACTTCGCTTTTCACCAAAGTGAAGCGACTCGACCACGCAGCGCATCCGCGTTGAGAATCCGCCTGTTCCCAGTGCACAACATTTTAGCCCACATATATATATATAAATAATGATAATAATAATACATTTATTTCAGACCAAAGTAGCATACATACAGTATTTAGTGGGGGCACTGGGGGGGTCTTGCCCCAGCACAGTCCTCTAATGTGTTTGGGTCGCAGTATCCAAAGCCATACTGCACTCCCCATCTTAACTCCCCAGCCAAGACACCCCCCATCTCGCCCCTTGTTAATCTGGGCTCCTCATCGTGTCACATTCGCACAACACATGCAGCATGCATGGTGACATGATGACACAGGGGCCTGCTGCTGTACCCTAAAGTCAAATACTCAACCTGCATTTTTAAGGCTCAGGGTTCTGGGTGACGGCATAAATTAAGGAAAATTGTTATATAGAAATAGTAAAATTAAACAACAGACCATATAAAAGTGTGACTGATTATTTTAATAAATGTGTTACTATTACCATCCTATCTGTGCTGTAGCCAGTCTGGCTAAGCCTGGGAAAAGGCTCCTGGCCAATTGTACCCTTAGCTGTAGGTAATTGTACCTCTTCAGGTACTGAAATGGACTCTGAGGAACGTTCTTGTATCATTGGAGTGTAAACGTTGTTTGTACCTTGGAGACGTTCCTCAGAGTCCATTTCTGTACCTTAAATTATACTAAAAGGTACATGTACCTGCAGCTATTGGGTACAATTGGCAGACCCTCGAGGGTACAGTTCCATTGACAAACAAAGGTACCGTCTGATACTCTTTTTGTCTGACAGTGTACAGGTTGTATGACTAAAAATGTCTTAATAAAAATAATCGAATTACCAAGTGTGTAGTAATCTGAATAATAAAAAATATATAATGCAATTATAACTGCAGAACATGGGTTACTTATACGAAGGACTCTGCGGTAATGAATTTTAGTTTAAAAAAAAATAAATAACGCAAGCGCTCGCGGGTTAAGAGTGACCCGAGGGAGAGCAGCGGCGTGGAGCCTCTCCGTTCCGCTCCAATCGGACGAGTTTGCAGACGCCGCCGGTAATGCTGGTCAATCCGAGGAATCCGAGGACTTGCCAGCTTCACCAGTGCATCTCGCCTACCG